GAGACAGCATGTCCTGAGCTCTGGCGGAGTGGTTTAGATTTCCTTGGAGGAAGCGATAGGTGCGGTCCATTACTGTTGGACCACATCCATCGCCCCCTCCCCTTCACCGCTGCCCCCGCCCTCCGGCACCGGCGCCGCATCGGGGATTACAGCGTTGGCCAGTGCTCCTCTGGCCAACCTTCTCTTTTGTCGGCGCTTTGATTTTCGGCGCCGGTTGCGTTCGGTATTATCACCGGACGGGAAGCACGCCTTGCCTCCCGCCCGGTGGTTTGCCCTGCGCCCGGCCGCAGCGCACAGAGCGCAGTGCGGGGCGGCTGTGCAGGACGCCGCTTTATGGCCCGGCTGGCCGCAGCGGAAACACAGACCGCTGCGGTCAACCGAGCTAGTGCACCTAGCGAGGCCGTGCCCGGTGCTAAAACATCGGAGACATCGCCAGGCACGTGGTTCTTGGAGACGCACGTGGGCCGCTATCCAGCCCACGCGCAGTCTCCCCGGGTCCCCCGTCGATCTTCCCGGCGGAGGAGTGGCCAAGGAAGTGGCTGCCTCCACAGGGCAGCGCGCCCACACCGACCTGGCTCCAGAGTACCCTGAGCGAAGTTCGCCCACGGTCACGCTCTCCAGGGCACATCCACCTTGGGCGGCTATCGCGGCTGCCACCTCCTCCTTGGTAGCACAGTCGTCCAGGCCGGTGATTCTAATGTCGGCCATCCTCACCGGCCTGTGCACGCGCACCTCATCCTCCGGCAGTGCCACGCGGAGCGTCGCCACTAGTTTGTCCGCGATGCCAGAACTATCGGCACCGGGACACTCCAGCAGCTTCGCTCCATTGGCTGTGTGCCGGAAGCGGAGGCCCTCCTCTGCCCCGATTTCATCCAAACTTACGGCCGCGCGCGCCCGGGCCATCACCTCATTATAGGTGAGGCCCTTTTCGGCGGCGGCCGGCAGCAACGTCACTACGACGGCAGCCGACCGCGCTGCGCGCGGCCTCTTCTTTTTGCCATTCTTCTTCCTGGCTGCCAGTGCTCGATTCTCACGAGGAGCAGCTACGGCCGCCAGCTCTGTGCTTCGTGCTGCAGCGGTCGGCGCTCGACCCCCTCTGGGAGCTGCCAGAGCCGCTGTCTGCTGCCTTGCTTTCTTGCCCCGCTTCACCACTTCCGTCCAGCCCTCGTCCATGCTTGACGGGGGAGCAGGAAGGGGACGGGGTTGGGATTTTGGGGCAGGATTCTGGGCACCCGTACCCTTGTTGTTTTGGTCCCGGCCTCTACGCCGTGCCAACCTCGCGGATGGAGTGGGGATAGAGGTCGGCCGGGCGGCCTGGCTCCGCGGGGTTATTCAACACTTAGAACACTTAAACAAACACTTTAAAATTCTCAATTCACTTCTTCCGCTTCGCTTCAGGTGATCCGTTCGCTGTTTCGCTTTGAATAGTTCCGATTACTAACTGACTGCGTGCCATCTCTGCAACGCTGTTATAGTCGAGACGAAAGTCCTAGAATCGTCGAGAATATTCTACAAAAATCTAGCATTGTGTTTCCGCTGTCTGAAAATAGATGGCGTTGTACTTCTCGAGCGTTCTAGGTGATACTGGATCCTTCGATATTCGTTCGACTATTCGGCGATAGATAGCGTTACTCTTACTAACAGTAATGTCTCTCAGACTGGGACCCGTGAGCTCAATTACGCATCCGGTGAAGCCAGGGCAGACCCTCGAGGTTATTGGCAGTAGGTAAGCAAACAAAAAAACCATTTTAATAGAAGGTTTATATGAATCAAATAAAAAAACAAAACTGGAATGAAATAATTACGATCAATACAAATTACAAACCAATCACCTCAACTATATGTTCCTATTGCTTACTGTATAAATATAAGAAACTCTACTGCCAATACTGTTGAGTTATACATTGTTGAGTTAAACCCTAAGCTTTCGGTCCAGTGTTTATTCTCCACGACTATATTAAAATCTCGCTCTGGCCTAAAAACTGGAGATATTAAGTTGAACAATAAAGCTCGTCATGAGTTCGTTTCCCCGGCGCGGCCCAGTCTAAGTTTAAGGGCTCGTAAACACCGCCGGTCATGTATCATGCCACTTTCGGTTTTAATGTGCTGTAAATGTAATTTTCTCCTGTTTTGTGTGACTGTGTACATATATTGTTTTGTAGAGGTTCATTGAACTTAATGTTTTTGTAGATATTTGATGCATTTTTGACAAATTGCGAGGAGAGGCTGTATTCAAACATCGATGAGTAAGTAACGTTTTAAATTATTAAAAAAACTAGCGACCCGCCCTCGTTTCGCTTCGGGAACTGTAATTTATTATTGATCTCATTGAATATTCTTTTATACAAGTCTTGTCCTATTAGTAACATACAGAATAAAAAAAGAACGTAACAAACAAAAAATCAATAAAAATATTACTGCTTCACTATTTTGGGGATAATGGCTTACAAATAAAAGATATATGCTGTCACGGGCTTTTATGTAGGACTATTTGAGATAAAAATTTCCATTTTACATTATATAAGTGTGGCTCCAGTGGTTTTTGCGGCGCACGTATAAACAGCTATCAGATGGCAGATTTTTTTCCTACTTACTTGACATTTATTGTTATATTTTGGGTAATTCACACTATATTTTTATAAATTATATGTGGTATTGTGATGTGTAAGCTAAGTGTCATATTTATTTATATCGAATCTACAGCCTAAAAAATAAGTTTCAAGCCTTTAGCTCTAAAATGATGATACTTCCACACAACTTTCCATCCCCCCTTTCAACCCTTTAAAACCCTTTTTTCACATTAATAAGTAGTCTGTGTACCAAATTTCATTTAAATCGGCTTAGTAGTTTTGGTGTGAAAGGGCGACAGACAGACAGAGCTACTTTGGCATTTATAATATTAGTATGGATGTTGAAAATGGTAAAATTAAAACGATAAGTATGTAACTAGAGCTAACTATGAATACGACACGTGCAAACCCGGTAAAATATTGGTTGTACGAAAGGTGGTCGTGGTGGTGGTACGAAATTGCCGCTGGGTCTACAAAAATACAAAGTTTTTTTTTGCAGCGCAGTGGTAATTTTTCAACGCCTTTTTGAGGGAGTCAGCTATGTGGGAGCCAACAAACTACTGAACTTTACTTTTTGGGGGTAAGTTTTCATTTGGGACATTACCTAGATGCTGAATCAGGATTTTACAAACATGATGGTCCCAAAAAATTTACAAAAAGAATAAATTTTTCATCGCAAATGACAATGCAGTTCAAAATGTTTTCGTCTATGTTTCGTGTCTTACACGTCAATTAACAAATGTACAATTAAGCAAAGCATACCTTAACGCGTTCGTCGCGCTGACGATCTTTCAGTTCGTGCGGCACCCACAAATCAAGGTTTTTATTTTGCTTTGTCGCAAATGGATCAGTCATACTCATATTTTTACCGTGTGCAAAACAAAACAAAAGACTATTGTTCAACTTTGGCGGTTATTTTAGTAGTGGTGACTAATGGTTCAGGGTGTTATCGGAAGTAAGATAATAATAATAAAATAACTCAACTGGTTAATCTTAGCGTTTATTCGCGACTGAACTTAAAAGTGAAACAAACAAATGACTGAAAATTAAACTCCATATCTTTATACATATAAACTTCCATATTTCAACTTATTTTTTTATTTTTTTTATTGCTTAGGTGGATAGACGAGCTCACAGCCCACCTGGTGTTAAGTGGTTATTGGAGCCCATAGACATCCACAACGTAAATCCGCCACCCACCTTGAGATATAAGTTCTAAGCTCTCGGTAACTTCCATATTCCATATTACAACTTCATAGATTCAGTCGAGTTTGCTAACTAATTCGTATGAAAGAGTGAATTCGTAGATTCCTATTGAAAAGCCCACTTTAAAATCAACCATATCGTACCTTTAATTACCTTGAAAGATTTAATTAATTTCTTTGATACGTGTATGTGACACTAAATGTTCGAGTTATATTATATAGATCCCATTGCCCTCGGTATCAAAAGAACCCTCATCAGTGCGAAAAATATTATATTATATTGGATGTTTGTAACATCATGGAAATAAGATTCATTTCTTAATGTAAATAACATTACTTAGGCAACGCCAGGTACATAATATAACATGGTTATTTAGATATATACAACAAGTATCTATGCTAGGATTTGCGTAACAACAGATCTATTACTCGACTAATAGTGCATAGACCACATAGTGACTCTTTTTCATGGGAAAATGATGATAAGACTATGAATCCGCACGAGTTGGTGCTTTTCTTATTTTATTTTTTTATTAGTATTTTTTTTTATTGCCCTTATAGGCACACGAACATACGGCCCACCTGATGGTGAGTGGTTACCGTCGCCCATGGACTTCAGCAATGCCAGGGGCAGAGCCAAGCCGCTGCCTATTTGTGCAGTGAGGCAGTTATGCGTTCCGGCTCGAAGCAATGGAACTAATACTTTCCGGGGCTCACCTTGTGAGGCTCGTCCGTTTTGGCAGCGTCTTAACACCAGATAGAATTATGAGCTTGTTTATCCATTTACGCAATAAATTAGCACTATTCGTTAAACGTCTAATAATAACTTTGCCTATATTGCTTAAGTTTCTACTTTGGAATTTGACTAGCACCCACGCCGCTGCGTAATGAAATCTGAAATCATCGAAAATATGTTTTATTATGTTCAAGGCACTTGATCGACTTAGTCTAGGAATTTTCAGTAAACTAGAATACTCTTTATTGCCAAATGTTTCGAACGCCAATTTTCGCTCGTGTTCCAGTAATATTTTTGTGAAAATTATCGAAACTAAAATTATAAGAATTGGACGCATATTCGTTTATAAAATACTAATATATTTTCCAGTTGTTTGTATGTACCTATTTATTTGTACTTCTCAGTTTATGTTTTTTTAATCAGATAAAATCCACTTCATTACAGAAATACCTCTCTACTAATGTTAAGCGGTCACGCGAGGTCTGAGATTGAAGCTGCAATTGAATTGTCCCAATCGCTGAAAAATTGAGCTCATGATTAATTACACAGAAGCAGAAATAGGATGTCAGTAACCATCACCACTTAGTAAGTATGTAATAATCCTAAAACCATTACTTGAAATAGGAATTAAGAGGTTAAGGATTATGCTTAATTAGTAGTAGTGGCTCAAATTACTGGAGTTTGGTTCCCGTATTTAGTGATTAAATACATTAATACCCTTACAATTAATTACCTACACATACTGTTATTAAGATCCTGTAGTTTTGAACCTTAAACTGGGATATAGTTTTGATTTTAGTTACCATTCTTACAAAAACTTTCAGCCTCGTGTATAAGAGTGGGTTTACGCCAGTGGTGACCGCGGGAACCTCGTTACTGTGCCTGGGTACGGCCCCGGGCGGAGATTGGACGTAGGTTGAGAGAGTGCATGGGGAGTCTTTTGGGTAGGTTGGACTTTAAAACCATCCTTTGGTCCGAAGCCCGCTCCCAACATCCGCAGACCGTTAAGTCCCACATATCCCACACGCTCCCTAGACACAGTTACCTTGTATGAGGTTGGTCGCCCTGCCCGAAAAAAGGGGTGGGTTCACGCTATCTGCGAGTGTTAGTATCTTTTGAACTACATCATGTGAGCTCTTCTGCCCATTCAGACCAACAAAATTAATTACTGTACACATAAAATAAATACTAATTAATACGAATTTGTCGAATCACTTTTGTTGCTTAGTTTACTTTACAAGTTGGATTTCGAGACGAGATTCTTTAGCTATTAATAACTGCTTTACGACTCTGAAACTGAATTCATACCTTTAAACAATGTTGAACGAATATTATATTTACAATTGATTCATATCACACTTGTAGTTGTTTGTCCTTTCAGACATACATACATACTTATGTAGATAGTTTGCAAATGCTTTGTGATTATGTTAGAGGGTCAAAGCTATGTATCTCAATGACAACAAATTGCGTGACTTTTAATCTAGATGTGTGGATTTATAATTTCAACCTATTTTCTGTCCGGACGACATTACTTAATAAAGTACCCTATTTCTTATGATTTGTTGAGCCATACCTAGAAATGATTATATTTTTTGTTTGATTCATTAGAGAGTAGTTCATTTATTGCATTTGACTTCTATTATCTCTATAGCTCTGCCACCGTTTGCTACCACACGTATGGTGGATGCTTAGTGCTAGAGATTCACTGGGAAATGGACAGCAGCGTTCTCTGAGTGCTAAATCGACGCATCGCGATTGGAAACTGGAATTTACTGATAGTTGGGCGTTCTGTAGACCTGCACGGG